TACTGGACGGATCCTGGTTTTCTATAAGCTACAGTGTAGACATTGTATTATGTGCATCTACATGAGCTAGGTGTTGTTATACAGTGTTACTACTACAGCACTCATACGCTTCCTACAGATTATCATTCTGATGACTTGTAGTCATGTCAACACTTCTCACTTCTCATTTTCTACTTTAATGAAATACTGGCCTTGAATTTTGTGAAAAATATACGCATTTTTTCTCGTCTTATGAAAGATTTCAAATTATGTTGAAGAAATGTGCAAAATATACTGATAACCAGAAGTTAACTAATTCTTCCCCATAATGGTGAAATGAAAATCTGGCAGGTCAACAGGTACACTGTTTTTGTGACATTTTTGTGGGGAGGTGATCATGTATTTATTGTTGAGGTGATCAATACCTGTCCAGTTTGGTCAGGTGCATGTCTGGAGGTATCAATGACATTGTGGATGCTGATGGTGGACACAGTCACTATGGACACCAGTGACAGTATGTCATTTTCATCTGAGTAGTTACAGTCGAAACTGCTTTCATGGTGTTGTCATGGTCCATATGAACACATCAGCCACAAAATGCAACATATGTGATATATCATCTGTCCATACTACGCTCATACTAGGGCTGCGCAATATAACCGGTTTACCGGTATTTACTGGTTCAGACATGAAAACGATACGTATTGCGATACGCTGATCGAAAACCAGTATTTTGACTTGCATTCTGAAAACTTCGTAACACTCGGAAATCTTCGGATATTTCCTTTTTTCATTTGTGCCAAATATTATTCACATTTTTATTTTTAATCATGAATAAAAGTTGTTATTAAAGCTTAATCAAGCATAGTGATTTTGCTGTGTATTTGCTCTATAAATCAAACATTACCCTGATTATAAGTAGTTTTTTTGTTTAAAAATACTTCATGCAATATATTGCAATACATATCGCAATACACGCTTTCGCGTCGCAATATATCGCAATATGAAAATTCTCTGCAACACCCACCCCTAGTCCATACTCTACATAGATAAGTGACCAAATAATGCTCTCTTCATCTGATGCTTTTGTGTTCTGTTACATGTAGATCTGGAACGACTGAATAGTCTTTCACTTAGTATGAGTATATTTTTTATCATGACTAATGAATTTAACATTTCACACTCAGTTTTCATTACTGTGTTACAAATCTGCTGATGCTTAACTTTTGGTTATGAGTATATGTGCTACACATCTCCATATTTTTGTCTGAATATAGACAACATTCACAGAAGTTTGAAAGTGGAAAACTGTTTCACAAAAGGAGACAAATATCTGTTAATTTCTGTTCACTTTGTTTCCATGAGCTGAGGTGGCCCACTGATTACACTCCAAGCTTTGATATACAGCTAGCTGAAACATGGTGTACATCTGTGCCAGTGCTCTTTATGCAAACATCAACAACTTGGAATGCTGAAAAAATATTTTCACATATATAAACAAGTTTATGCAAATGGAACAACGGGCAAGAAATCATGTGCATTAAATTCATCTTATTCTGTACAAAAGCCTACATGCACACACAATCATCAAAGCCTGAAGTAAAATCTGACAAAATACATTTGGAAAATGTACAGGAATGCAAACAATTGAGGAAAACTAATATCTCCATAAAATCATATATCACAATTTACATATTTTGATTTAAATAGAAACTCCACTGAAACAAAAAATAAATCCAAAGAACATTGGAATATGTAAAATATCTCAGGAACTGGAATATCGGATATTATCAGTGTCGTCAAAACAAGTAAACATGAAGTGACAGATTAATATGTTCATTTCTCAACAATACCATCCACTACCTCCATCACAACCATCTTAAACACAACCAGATATGAGTCTTGAATTCACACATCTTGACATTGAGCTTTAAAATATCTGTAATATTGTAAAAATTGTAGACATATATCTAATTTCACTTTATTGCAATCATGTAATCGGAATGTTACATGATATATGAATTATCTTTCATATTGAATTTTAAAACATTTTTTAACTAGCATCAAGGAATGCCATAACATGGAATGAGGACATCACAACCTGAAACTGAAAGGCGTTTTGCAGATAATCACAACCTTGTTGGTTCTCAGATATGTATTCAGGACTTGGAGCAAAGGCATATATCAGTATTTTCAGTAGTGTTGTAAAAAGTAGACAATTCTAAGATGCTTCGGTGAAAGATCAAAGGCGCTGACAGTACTTTATCAGACGATAATGAACTATTATAACATTAAAGCACTCTGATGCAAGCACCCTCGTGCTTTAAATATAGTAGTTCAGAGCGAAAGTGTGCATTATTGCACTATACATGGTGGTAGAGCGAACTGTATTTCTTAAATCAGATTTGTTTGAAGTAATGTAGAAATCAGCTACCTGCTTCTTGCTATGAGGTGTACAGAGGAATACAATTATTTCCTTGTGTTCCATCCTATTGAGAAAAGAAATACAGCTGTGTAGGAGAGTGTGGGGGGTGGGTGGGGTTGGGGTTGGGGTTGAAGTGGTTTGTTGAGGTGGTTTGGGTTGAGGTGGTTCAGGTCATGTTAAACTTAGATACCTTGTAACATTCATGTCATGTTAATGGAAGTTCAGACTGACATGTCATGTTAAACTTACATTCGTCTCATAAGCATAAATGTTCAGAAATATAATGGAAGTTCAGACTGACAAATGTCATGTTAAACTTAGAATTAAATGTTCAGGAATATAATGAAAGCAGGCTGAAATGTTAACTTAAATTCCTCGTCTCATAAGCATAAATGTTCAGAAATATAATGAAAGTCAAGACTGACCAATTCTGATTTTCTTTACACATAACTTATCCTCGGCCTGTAAATGTGAAGCAGGACCTAGTTTTCATGTCCTTGACCCACTGAAGTATTCTTAACAGTCCAAATGTCTCACAAATAGAATGATGAAAGTAAATATCTGTTGAATAGTTACTCCTTCCGGTATGTTGTTGAGTCGTCTTTCCCATCTGGTAACATCAAGCTAATGTCAGTGATGACTATGTTCTCAACACACCCAATACTGAACCATCTAAAGGTCAAACCACATCAGCATATTTGTAATATTATTATGATATGAGATTATATACATTGTATACATACTATAGTTCATTGTGACTCGATCAGCACCAGAGATAATGATATCATCTAATTAATCTTACATCCACACAGCACAAAGATACACAACCTTCACAGTACAACCTCTTTATACAACCTGACAAAGTGACTACACCAAGCAAAAATACATACACTTTCTTAGTATACTTTTGTCAAAAGGAGGATACTACTTAATAGCAATAATATCAATTTTGAAATGACATCAAATTTTTTTCTCTGTACTGATAAAATGCATCAGGGTATATATATAAGCATAATATACTTAAAATTCTAGTCACAAGTACAGCCTTCTGTTAGATGTTAGGAGTTAAGTAAAGTATCTTCTTATCTTCTCCTATGAACTGTCAGAAAGCCTTTTTATCTAACTCATGTTTCTTTATATATCAAACACTTTACCTTCTAATTTCTGATTGCTGATTATTATACATACATTAAATGTCAGTCTTGTACCAGTCCAAATGTCTATAGGAAACACATACACCCCATGTAGCTTATGAGTGTTTTTCTGTTGGGCATATATACATACATTAAATGACTTTCCAATATTAATTATGTTGTTTATTTAAAAAATCAACAAAAAACGGCCGGTATAGTGGAAAAATTATCAGGGCAAGTGATTTTACATGTGCCTCTGTACCGGAGTACACTAGCAATTTTAAAGTTATTTCCACCCCTGAGCACTTAAGTGCAATTCATTATGCAAACTGATCTGTCGGGCATGGTAACATCCATCCTTTGAACATATGGAATGTAGTGTCTTGCATATTTTGGCCCATCACTGTTTTGATATTCTATAGCTGTCATAACTCCCCACAAAATTGTATTCATATTAGCAATCCATTTGTTGCAGCCTTACTAACAAAATGACTCTCAAAACCTTGATAAAAATGCTAAATTGTAGAAGAAAACTACACAAAGTGATCTCAGTGCTGAAATGGTTGTAACTCCTATACTTTAGAGTAGTGTAATAAAGTTACTTTTACCCTGAACTATTATATCCGCTTGTGCTAAAGTTATAATAGTTCAGGGCAAACGCGGCTTGTATTACACTAATGGTGGCAGAGTGAACTGTATTTCTTTTCTAAGATGCCAAATTTAATACTTTCTAAGGATAATTACCATTAATTTAGCCAGAAAACAAACGACGTGTATGTGCCCTTAATTAAGAATCCTCGACAGGGCTAACAGGCTGGCGCTGTTCTTTTGATGTGTCTGCCCCCTCACGCCAAGACTTAACGCTACCAGAAAAAACAAATGATAACAGTTTGATGACGGGTTTACGCTCAATTAAATATCTTCTCTGAATTATTTTAATGACATCTGTCATTAACGTAGAAACCATATGGGGCAATATGAACATCGCATTTCTACTACCAACGAAAGTTTAGATCATACATCCAGATGAAGCGGAGTAGTCCCACGATTTGCATTGTGGGAATGTAAACATTGCAAACATTGCTAACGCTACTGTGTCGCTGAAAACTTGTGAGTCGAATTGACATTTTAACAGTCGTTAAACGTAATGTTTCAACCAGCCTAGCTGCGAAGCAACTGCAAACCAAGAAACGGGATGCAACGGAGTAGTTTACTGTAGGAGGCCTTGCACGGGAGGCGAAACTGACATGCATCGCGCATTACATTGTGATGTAATGTAAAATGGTTCGACTACGAGGGGGCACACTAGAATGGCGCACTGACGGGATAACATTCAATTGTTACGTCATCAAAAAACTATACCTTTTTTGTCTGATAATGTATTTTTTTTCGATTGTTCTAACCACTAGGCATCTTAGAAGCAAGCTTATGATATCCCTTGTGCTTAGATCGGTTTGTAAAATAAGACCCTGGTACATGATGAGCTTTATGACCCTACCATCTGATAACCTCACTGACATCATGACCATGTGCTTAAACATCTGTGACTTCAATCATCTAAATACTACATTCTATAAATCTGCAGTATAGATGTTTATATGGTCCACGTGTTGCGCAGTATGTTGGCGAAGTCTTCGTCACTGTCAAAGCCGATGCTAAGCCCCTCGTAGTACTCCTCAAACTCCACATACGACACCTCCTCCTGTTTGGGTGATGCCATCACTGACTCAAGGAAAGCCTGGATCACTGAGGTCCCGGTTGCATCTACACAGGGGGAGGAAACAGTGTCATCATCTCGTCATCAACACTGTCAGCACCCACAGCTTTGTATGCACTACAGTCCACCATCACCTGTCAATACCTAAGCCTGCTAAATAGCTATTTGTAACCAGCAATTCAAACAGAGACCCGACTCATGCGATGGATGCTGATGTGTGCTAAAGCCACTGAGTGCTAAGTTTACATCCCACAATGGGCCATGTTTCTTGCCTGACACATGAGCAACATGGACAATAGCCTTGAGGCTCTCTGCTCTACACAATATTTTAATACCACGCAATGGAGTGTCCTTACAATATTCTTACACAGAGTAGGGCTAAGTTGACTTTCATGAGTAATAAATTTTTTCATTTCAGTAGGTTATATAAATGCCCAATCACAACTACAGTTACACTACTATTGCCCCATGCGTCCCAAGGAGGGACACCCTTATCCGGCCCAAGCATCCCAAAGAGGGACACCACAGCCTCCCCCACGAGTCCCAAGGAGGGACACCCCATGCATCCCAAGGCGGGATAGGTCTGCCGAAATGCCAGCAGGCGAAGGCGACCTCCAAAGCACATAACTGAAGAAGAAGAAGACTACAGTTAATTCTGGTCATGCATTCATGGGTGATGGAGTTACATAGTGCATACAAGGCTGTGATGAACTGAAGCTGATACATAAACAGTTACAGAGTTTTCTAGCATGAGGAGAGAGAGAACAGGGTTCAGTACTGCTTTGAACAGTGTTTCAGTTCCATCCAGCCATGTCAGATTAATGTGGAGGAAAGTCTTCAGACACTTATACTTATATTGTGGTGAAGCCAACAGTGCCCACAATCCTGAAATTATTATCATAGCTAAACCTGGATTTAACATACAGATGGGTGCAAGTCTACATAGAGGATGGCAGTGATCGGATTACTGGACCACCAAAGAACAGACATCACTGCATGAGTCTGTAATCCTACCTTAACCTATGTCACTTTTGGAAGGAGGGAGTGAGTGAGTTAAGTTTTACGCCGCACTCAGCAATATTCCAGCTATATGGTGGCGGTCTGTAAATAATCGAGTCTGGACCAGACAATCAAACCAGACAATCAGCACGAGCATCGATCTGCGCAATTGGGAACTGATGACATGTGTCAACTAAGTCAGCAATCCTGACCACCTGATCCTGTTAGTCGCCTCTTACGACAAGCATGGGTTACTGAAGATCAATATTCTAACCCGGACCTTCATGGGTTCTTTTGGAAGGAAGCAGGAGTTTTAACATACATTCTTAAAAATACACTAGGTGTTGTGTGTAACTGACATCATGTATGGCTGTCCTAGTTTGATATCCTTGATGATGAGTTCCAGGCAGGACAACAAGTACCATCTTTTGGTATGGCACTGCCAGGGTTTCCCCAGGCAGACAATCTATCCACTAGATCAAGGGGTGCTGTATTATCTTTGGAAACATCACATTGTTTTTCCAACTTGTACATGCTAGATGGTGGATTTATTTCCTTTGAATCTAGAGACAATAGAGAGAGACACTAAAGGGAGACTCTCAAGGGAGGTATTAGAGACAGATACTAGAGACACTGGATTGAGACATTAGAGACAAATACTAGTGAGAGGACAATCGAGGGAGACATTAGAGACAGATACTAGAGACACTGGATTGAGCCATTAGAGACAAATACTAGTGAGAGGACAATCGAGGGAGACATTAGAGACAGATACTAGAGACACTGGATTGAGACATTAGAGACAAATACTAGTGAGAGGACAATCGAGGGAGACATTAGAGACAGATACTAGAGACACTGGATTGAGACATTAGAGACAAATACTAGTGAGAGAACACTTGAGAGAGACATTAGAGACAAATACTAGAGACACTGGATTGAGACATTAGAGACAAATACTAGGGACACTGGATTGAGACATTAGAGACAAATTCTAATGAGAGGGACACTCGAGGGAGACATTAGAAACAAATACTAGTAGCATGGACACTTGAGAGAGATATTAGAGACAGATACTAGAGACACTGGATTGAGACATTAGAGACAAATTCTAGTGAGAGGGACACTCGAGGGAGACATTAGAAACAAATTCTAGTGAGAGGGACATTGGAGGGAGACATTAGAAACAAATACTAGTAGCATGGACACTTGAGAGAGATATTAGAGACAGATACTAGAGACACTGGATTGAGACAGAGACAAATTCTAGTGAGAGGGACACTTGAGGGAGACATTAGAAACAAATACCAGTAGCATGGACACTTGAGAGAGACATTAAAGACAGATACTAGTGAGAGAGACATTAGAGACAGAGACTGGAGATACTGGATTGAGACATTAGAAACAAATACTAGTGAGAGGGACACTTGAGGGAGACATTAGAAACAAATACTAGTAGCATGGACACTTGAGAGAGACATTAGAGACAGATAATAGTGAGAGAGACACTTGAGAGATATGAGAGACATTAGAGACAGAGACTGGAGACACTGAATTGAGACATTAGAGACAAATACTAGTGAGAGAGACATTAGAGACAGAGACTGGAGACACTGAATTGAGACATTAGAGACAAATACTAGTGAGAGAGACACTAGAGACAGAGACTGGAGACACTGAATTGAGACATTAGAGACAAATACTAGTGAGAGAGACATTAGAGACAGACTCTGGAGACACTGAATTGAGACATTAGAGATAGATACTAGTGAGAGAGACACTTGAGAGATATGAGAGACAAATACTAGTGAGAGAGACATCAGAGAAAGAGACTGGAGACACTAAATTGAGACAGAGACAAATACTAGTGAGAGAGACACAGAGACAGAGAAATTAGAAACAAATACTAGTAATAGGGACACTTGAGAGAAACATTTGAGATAGATACTAGTGTGAGAGATATGAGAGACAGATACTAGAAACACCCGAAAGAGACATTTGAGACAGGTACTAGAGACATTCGAGAGAGACATTTGAGACAGACCTGGAGGGCCCCGGGCACTGGCTGTGGCATTGAAGAACTTCCGGATGTCACTCAGTATGATGAAACCCCGCTTACTGCTGTCAATCTTCTGAAATGCCTGGAAGGTAGAAAGACAGGATATACATGCAGTAGTTAAGATATCATAGGTGTAAAGGACACACAGAGACAACATGTTTGTTTTCTACACAATGAATCCTTGGTAGCTGACTGACCTTGATGACAAGAGATTTGCGATACTCATTCATCTCCCCAATGATGGCATGCATGTAATCGGTGTAGTCGACACGGCCTTCATTGTCAGGGTCGAGGATATCCATCACAGCATCCAGGATCTGAAACCATCAGCAATAAGTATAACAAGTATAAGTAATAACTTGTGTATGTACTGACTATATAAATAAAGACAGTATTTTGAACAGCTTGTCTTCTCACAAGTGAGGTGAGGTGAAATTGGGTTTAACGTCGCGCTTGAGAATATTTCGCTCATATGACGACGTGCATGCATGTGTATGTACTGCTTGTACTAGCCCAGACTGAAGCTGGTTTTATAGTGCTAGCCCACTGAGATACCAAGCCGCAGTGAAGCATGAATACCCCACTCAGACACATTATACTGACTCCGAGCCGACCAGTCTTTGTTGTACCCTTTAATGCCGAGTGCCAGGCAGGGACAAACAAGTACCATATTTTAACGTCTTTTGGTATGACGCGGTCGGGGATTGAACCCGCGACCTTCCGCTCTCCGGATGGATGCTCTAACCACTACACCACGGAGGCGGTCTCTCACAAGTGACATCGTGTATATAAAGCTATGTACAGCTGTGTAGTTATTGTGGCACCTGTTGGGGAAGTTCCAGACGGAACCTGACCAGCCCTTGCTCCAGCTCGTGGTGAGTGAGAAGTCCACTTCCATCCGTGTCTAGACTCCGGTACCACCTTCCCAGGCCAGTCACTGTCTTGATGCCACGCTTCTTCAGCTTCTCTTGAACTACATCTGAAAAGCATCAAGGTAAGAATTCCATGTGATACTTCCAGCAATCCATAGTATAACAGATGCTGAGGACTAATGCTTGTTGAAAGAGATCACAAGTATCACTAGGGCTGTGTTTGCTGAGTATGGGGCTGGTTGATCTTGTGTGCCATCATACCCTTACAACGCTGACCCCATTACACAGACTGTAGACAGAGCTGAGATGCTGTCAACTACAGCCTACTTCATCCAATAACAAGAACACATGGTCATCAACATCCCCAGCCACAGTGCTCTGTTCCTATTTTGACAACTATTTATTCTTCCTACAAATAGCGATTCATAAGCTGTTCAATGAGAACATCTGTTCCCATTGGGGATAACGTGCACTAAGTAAAGAAACGCATGACAAGGTCCATAACTCTGTAAAGAATCATAACACGGTTTCAGTTTTCGAACCCCATCAAGGCATTTGTGTCCTGACAATACATACATTTGGTTTCCCTATCTATAACGTTTTTTGAGAAAATCTGTTCCCATCACCTCGGACTGATGGATGGAAGGAAAACGGCCTCCCACTTCATGGCGGGGGATTATAATAATTGTCTCATCTCATAGCCACAGGAAACATTCAGCATATACTGGTGCAAGTTTTGTCCAAAAGAAAATTGTATAGTGATGTTTTCAATCTACGGTAGAAGTTTCCTGGTCCAGACAAACCAATGTTTGAGCGCATGTCATGCCATCTTGGTATAATGACACACAATCAAGGATACCACCAAGCCTGATCATCTGATTGATTCAGTCACCTCTTACTACAAGCAACTGAGTGATGGTGAACTATTTTAACTTAATAAAGTGGTTTGTGTTGTGTTTGTGTTGTTAGTTGTTTAACACTGCGTCCAACAATATTCCAGCAATAAAATGGCGGTCTGTAAATAATCATGTCTGGATCAGACAATCCAGTGACTGATATCATGAGCACTCTTCTATGCAACTGGGATACAATGACCCAGTCTGCATGTCTAACTCATCCCATTGTTTGCCTCTTACAAGCATCAGTTACTGAAGATCAGGGGCAGTGAGGTAGCCTAGGGATTAAATTGTTCGCTCATCACGCTGAACACCTGGGTTCGATTCCCCACATGGGTACAATGTGTGAAGCCCATTGTGGTGTGCCCCGCTTTCTCTCTCACTGAGGATCAATTCTACAAAGTACTTTGTGATAAACCTATCACAGAATGAGGTGTGAGAAGGTAGAGACTTTGCATTTACAACGCTTGTAGCAATATTCCAGCAATAACATTGCTTGGGAAGAACACAAAAATGTGACAACCTGTTTTTGATATTCAGAAGTCATGTGTGTTGGCGCGTGGTCCTGTGCTCAAAGCTCAGGTCACAAATCAGTGAAGTTAAGCACCGTAGAGCTCGGAGAGTCCTTGGATGGGTGACCGAGTTTGGCAGCTTGACTCGTGAGAGTTTCTAGGACTTCAGTCCTGCCCCACAACGAAGCACATGTGACACATGTGGGCTCCCTCCTTAGACAAGTGAGTTTGTTTAAATTTGTCTCTGTTCACCCAGCAGGAAAATGGGTACCCGGTGGAAAAAAGTCATATGACTATAACCTTCTAGCACATAACAGGCAGCTTGGGTTATCCGGGGTAATAATGTGCTGTGCCTTGATTGTTAGCTCTATGAGCATACCTAGTGTGGAGTTTGGCGCTATATAAATGGACACATTATTATTATTATTATTATTATCTGCACATGCTCCATACTGACAGATGCTCACCTTGCACCGACTCCAGGATCTTCCGGTTCTCATACTCCTCCTTAGTGGGATACTGCAGGCGAGCAAATGTCTCCTGGCCACGACTGCTGAGACTGTTGAAACAAAATATATCCCAACTATTAATTTAAATGATACAAAGATGAGTTCATGAAATAGTTCAGTGCCTCAGTAAGTAGAACATTTATTAGTTGTCACATGCTGTAATTGGAAAATAGTTCAGTGCCTCAGTGAGTAGAACATTTATTAGATGTCACATGCTGTAATTGGAAAATAGTTCAGTGCCTCAGTGAGTAGAACATTTATTAGATGTCACATGCTGTAATTGGAAAATAGTTCAGTGCCTCAGTGAGTAGAACATTTATTAGATGTCACATGCTGTAATTGGAAAATAGTTCAGTGCCTCAGTGAGTAGAACATTTATTAGATGTCACATGCTGTAATTGGAAAATAGTTCAGTGCCTCAGTGAGTAGAACATTTATTAGTTGTCACATGCTGTAATTGGAAAATAGTTCAGTGCCTCAGTGAGTAGAACATTTATTAGATGTCACATGCTGTAATTGGAAAATAGTTCAGTGCCTCAGTGAGTAGAACATTTATTAGATGTCACATGCTGTAATTGGAAAATAGTTCAGTGCCTCAGTGAGTAGAACATTTATTAGATGTCACATGCTGTAATTGGAAAATAGTTCAGTGCCTCAGTGAGTAGAACATTTATTAGATGTCACATGCTGTAACTGGAAAATAGTTCAGTGCCTCAGTGAGTAGAACATTTATTAGATGTCACATGCTGTAATTGGAAAATAGTTCAGTGCCTCAGTGAGTAGAACATTTATTAGATGTCACATGCTGTAATTGGAAAATAGTTCAGTGCCTCAGTGAGTAGAACATTTATTAGATGTCACATGCTGTAATTGGAAAAAATAGTTCAGTGCCTCAGTGAGTAGAACATTTATTAGATGTCACATGCTGTAATTGGAAAATAGTTCAGTGCCTCAGTGAGTAGAACATTTATTAGATGTCACATGCTGTAATTGGAAAATAGTTCAGTGCCTCAGTGAGTAGAACATTTATTAGATGTCACATGCTGTAATTGGAAAATAGTTCAGTGCCTCAGTGAGTAGAACATTTATTAGATGTCACATGCTGTAATTGGAAAATAGTTCAGTGCCTCAGTGAGTAGAACATTTATTAGATGTCACATGCTGTAATTGGAAAATGAGTAACATTCTTGAGCAGCAGTACCTATATTTGTTTCAACAAAGCAAAGCATTAAAAGTTGAAGCTTTGGCATCTCAGATTGTCATTCAATTCAATCTTACGTCATGAAACCATCTCTGAAAAAATTCAGCTTGATGACTCAAGGTGAGTGAGAGAGAGTGTGTGTGAGTGAGAGTGTGTGAGTGAGAGTGTGTGAGTGAGAGTGTGCGAGAGTGAGAGTGTGTGTGAGTGAGAAAGTGTGTGTGAGTTAGAGAGTGTGTGAGAGTGTGTGTGAGTGAGAGTGTGTGCGAGTGAGAGTGTGTGTGAGTGAGAAAGTGTGTGTGAGTTAGAGAGTGTGTGAGTGAGAGTGTGTGTGAGTGACTGAGTGCATCTGTGTGAGTGAGTGAGTGGGTGAATGCAAGTCTAATATTATTTAAGGTATATCACAGAGTATCAACTTTATGTTGGACGAAACACTGAACTGACTCATGGCAAGATGTCTTTCCAGCGTCAATCATAACAACAGAGTCTTATACTCACTACTTTACAGTTACCAACATACTACCTGAAACTATGCACACTTGATTTAACTTGCTATATTTTGAAGTGACTCACATTTGTGAAATGGGATTCACTTCAACACTGCATATTCTTTTTTAACCTTACACTGGCCTTCAAAAGGGGATGCCTTATCTCGTAAGTTAATATTCATGTCTAAATGATCCTCAGTGTACAATGGCCTCCCCAACGAACAGTGCTACAAGACTGACATGAACGAGGATGAGATGTAACCTGAACTCACAGTAAGGTTGACTTTTCATCTTCATCCACACTGATGACACGGAACTTGATAAACTCGCTGCCCTTGATGGATGCTGGGATGGTCAGTTGTCCAGATGTAGAGATCAGTAAGTTACCTCCCTTTAAAACACCCATACACATGATAAAGTCAGTATCTGTTATATAATTCAGTTGAGTTGAGTTGAGTTGAGTTGAGCTTTACGTCACTTCGGCATTTTTCCAGCCATATAGTGACGAGAACAAGTTTGCATTAGTAAATATTGTAAGTACATACTCGGAATGAGTTTTGTTTCATATATAATTCAGACAAACTGTAACACAAAGGCACAGTATCATGTCGAGAGAGTTTTGCAAGTCTTTACATGGTGTTAAGTAATACACATAAAGGAGACAATGTATAGAAGTCAACTTCATAATTAAGTTCTCACTCCTTGATCAAGTGAATTAATGGTGAGGTGAGGTGAAATTGGATTTAACGTCGTACTTGAGAATATTTCGCTCATATGACGACGTGCATGCGTGTGTGTGTGTATGTGCGGCTGCTTGTACTAGCCCAGACTTAAGCTGGTTTTATAGTGCTAGCCCACTGAGATACCATGCCGCAGTGAAGCATGGATACCCCACTCAGACACATACTGACTCCGAGCCGACCAGTCCTTGTTGTACCCATTAATGCCGAGCACCAGGCAGGGACCAACAAGTACCATATTTTAACGTCTTTTGGTATGACGCGGTCGGGGATCGAACCCGCGACCTTCCGCTATATGGCGGGACGCTCTAACCACTACACCACGGAGGTGGTCTGAATTAATGGTGGGATGCAGAAAGCATACAGGCAATACATGTAAGAACAACAATAACACAACACAGGAGGAAACATACCAAAGGAAGCCAACAGTTTATTAGCACTGATTAGATGGAAGCTGTGAGTTAAATTACCATTCACTGGTAGTAAGTGATGCACAAATGGCTGGCAGGGGTAATAAGCATTGACTGGTCATGGCACAGGACAAGTGATGTCAGTGCTAAGTTGACTCCATAAATTCTCTCCTTTATGAAATGTTTGGATTCCAGCTATAGTATTATGACTTCTACAGTTTAAAAAATCATTTCCATGGCTCAATTCCCTTCTTACAGAGTATATGTCCAGTAGAGTGTATGGCTGTTCCTTCCTAGATCCTTTCAAGTGGAGAAAGTGACCTCGGTTGATGAACGGTATTGCCTTTGCACTGCCACAAAGAAGAAACATATTAATTGACTTCACAAAATTCAGTCAAATAAAGCAAGACGTGAAAATGAAAAACCAGATAAGCACATGTACAAGACTTCTTAGGCCTTACTAGACAAAACAGAAGCCCAGTGTCCAAGTTGCTGTATGAGCTAACTTGACAAGAATCAGGAAGTTGCAATGTTTTGATGCAACAAGGCTCTCCATTGTCACCTTAATGTCAGAATACTTATAATCAAGGAGAACCAAATTCACTATTATACCTTTTCCCGAACTGTTTGAATTCATAGATGGTCAGTGTGTTGTCCACATGGAAGAAGAAGCCGGTCAGCTCCCTCAGTGCATCGTGGCCATTCCTGAGAAACAAACAAAGACACTATGCAACAGGCAGGTCATTTCTTTATTTAGAACTATCATAAGTCCAGTTTCCACTCAACACGATATTTATTAAGTTTGACATCCACTTTTAGTACTGAATCCGTGATTTGTTTGTTTTGTATGATGTTTAATGCCATTCTCAGCAACATTCCAGCTGTATGACGGCAGTCTGTAAACAATCGAGTCTGTACCAGACAATCCAGTGGAGGCAATAGATAACATTGTAGAACATAACATTCAAGAAGAGAATCAATAATAGTTGCCAATACCTGGTGATGATCCGTGCCTGAAAGCGGACTCTCTTGGACAGCAGGTTCTCTGTGTGTGTGGCCCTGGTGCTCACTCTGCAGATAGACATACATGAAGTTCTCATGGTGCAGCTGACCAATGAAATATTATTTAAGCCAGGCCTATTGTTTCCGCAGGAAGTTGTAACTTGACTCATTCATATCTGTCTAGAGCTGTGAAACTATAGCATAGTGGTATGTTCAGAGGTATGACGCTCATTTGGTACTGGCTTAATGTTGCTCAGTTTCCTACACCGTCAAGTGAGTGAGTAAATATTTAGCAATTTTTTTTCCATTTTTAGGAATAATCCACCAATATCATGTTGGGGTCGCCACAAATGGGCTTTACACATTGTATCCATGTGGGGAATAGGTCCAGGGTCTTAAGCAGTAGGCAACCCCAATACCCCTCCTACATCATCAGATTTAAGTCTACTCTTATAATTTAAACACAGGATGTTTCTCTGAGCTTACTTGGAGTCGTGTAGAAAGCGGTTCTGTCCTCGTCCACGCCGAGGCTCGTATGCTTTGTTGCGGTCATTCTGTTCTGGATCACTGATCACTGCCCTGCACAAAGAACACAATCAAACACTATATACAGTGGAAGCCCTCTAAACCGGCATTCGGTGGGGACCGGCAAAAAATGCCGGTATAGAGGGCGTGCCGGTTTAGAGAATGTTTCCCTTTTCGACCTGAGAATGATCTTCCGTTGCCGCTTTGAACTGCTTGATGTCGTATCGTGTCTTCCAATGTGCCAGCCAACCATCTCATGCCTTAAACTCGTTGACATGTAATTCTGAAGCAAACTGAATAGCTTTCTCTTTCAAAATATATAGGGCCAGAAATGGGCATGTTTTTACTGCGGGTAGTCAAAAACCTATCATGCGTCAGTGTGTTAATTTTGTCCAATTTATTGATTTCACTCACACGACAATTAATTTACAATTTACAATCAGCCAATCAACAGGAGAGCCGAGATACCAGATGCTGGTTTCGAGAGCGTTAATTACTGTAGAAACAGTCAATTGGGCAGTCTTTGTTGTGCCGAAATACGGAATAGACTGAAACCGGATTAGACAGCGTGTAAATGATCATGAATTAGCTAATTTCTGCCGGGACCAAATTCTAGTGCCGATATTGAGAGCATGCCGGATTGGAGGGCTGCCCGGTTTAGAGGGCTTCCACTGTATATGAGTGTGTGCATTTTCCCTCCACTGTTTGTTGTTTTCATCACATACAAACACACAAACATTAGGGATGAAACGGTATACCATGGTATTAGTAGAACCGCATTATTTTGCCTTCGGTCCGTATGCCGTAATGTAATCCAAAAATTTGAAATTTTCGGTTTTCGTACCCTCATTTATTAACCTTTAAAACCTTTTCCAAAATGTCTAGAAATTGAATCATTTTGTCAAATTCTTTCCTAGACGGCCTCTATTTTCCTGGAAGTAAGTTCTCATATACCGAACCGAAGGCCCTGTACCACAATATGTACCGTACCATGGTAAGAGCGCACCGTTTCAGCTCTAATAAACATATTGTCATGATATGAGTTGTCTAATACAAAAATTCATAATCAGGCTGTGATTCAGTTGTGTTCCATAATGGAGCAATCATACTAACTTGAACAGCCAGTAAACCACTAACCTGGAACCACTAACCTGGAACCACTAACACTAACACAGACACTGGTCAGCCAGTACTACAACTACTAACCTGGACAGCTGGTCTGCCAGTACTACAACTACTAACCTGGACAGCTGGTCTGCCAGAACTACAACTACTAACCTGGACAGCTGGTCTGCCAGCACTACAACTACTAACCTGGACAGCTGGTCTGCCAGCACTACAACTACTAACCTGGACAGCTGGTCTGCCAGTACTACAACTACTAACCTGGACAGCTGGTCTGCCAGCACTACAACTACTAACCTGGACAGCTGGTCTGCCAGCACTACAACTACTAACCTGGACAGCTGGTCTGCCAGCACTACAACTACTAACCTGGACAGCTGGTCTGCCAGTACTACAACTACTAACCTGGACAGCTGGTCTGCCAGCACAGTCTCTATCAACTTCTGCTTCTTGTTGTACTCTAGTAGGTCCTCCTGTAGGGAGAGGAATCAGTCACTGTGTAATACATAAACATTTCTACAAAATCAACAACCTTACTATCCAAAACTTAACACAAACAAAACATGAAGACAAAAATATGCTGCATTTGTTTATAACTGAGTTGTGGAATATTTTTCTTTGTGGTTGGGCTTGACATATTTATATCAGGTCTAACCAAACACATCTAAATTACTGGCAGACTTTATTAGCTGACAAATCTGCCCTTCACAATATAAACTGTTTCCTGAGAGAACAACGGCAGTGTTCACAAGAAATCTCAGTATTCAGAATAATGACTGTGAAAGAATATCTTACAACATCCATCTTCTTCATGAGCTGTTTGCTGGAGTATCTATGTTTCGTCCAGCTGTCGTCCAAATTGTCTTCTTGGTCATCAGCATGATCATACTGGACATTGTGACCATTGTCCTTGGGTGATGTGGAGTGAGCCTTCTTCACTGCCTGGACAGCCTGCTCCACCTCATCCTGAACATCAACATCAACAGAACATCAACATCATGAACAAACACAGCCAATGGTTGACAATACGCAGTCAAACACCATCAGGATATAACACTCAATCAACTAAATAACCTGATCCAAGAACAGACCATCAGATCCACTTTAGTGGCTTCTCATGACAAGCAACGAGTAAATGGGACCTATTCAAGCCTCCTCTTGGGGGCTGCTTGTAGACAATACACTAAAATTGTTTATCAACTCAAGAACACACTGCTACTGAGACACGCAACTCATGGCATTACGAACCTGGCCGACGTGGTTTGGAGCCTGTACGTGTTTCCTGTAGGACTGCTTCATGTCTTCCTTGTACTGCTTGTACATCTCCTGGTGCCGGGCAGACGGGGGACACACGTTCTCCGATACAGCAGGGCCATCCCATGCACTAGGCTGTAGTAATATACACTTCTTTAGATCTAACAAACACTGACCTACCTGGCTAGGAGACATAAATGCTTCATCTGTTCAGCATTTGTTGATAAAATTGTAAAGACATAGTGGTGCTCTTGGAATGATGGTCCTATACTTAAGACAGTGTGGTGCTTCTCCTCTGATGATAGATGGAGACTCAATAATGCTCGGGTAGGGCTGTGATGTGTAACCTACAACCTACGAATGTGGACTTGGGAATTCCTGGGACCAGACAAAACCAGTGGTTAATAAAATTGAACTAACCTGTCGAGGGTTCAGATTCTTTGAATATAGCCCTCCCTGGGGTACATATAAGCATTTAAATGTCCATTTAAAATCCCTACGACAGTTGTAACAATATTTGAATAAAAATATTTACAAAACAAAAAACTACGTTTTTGTCTTGTGAGACCACCCTTACAGGGCCCCACGGACCCCTACAGCCAAGAGCAGGTAACTCTAGCCTATAACCATGTACCCCACTTTCCATGCTGAACGAATCAGACAGAATGTGGGGAGTTGGGTGGCCGTACCCCAAGGAGGACTATATTCAAAGAATCTGAAACCTCTACAGGTTAGTTCGATTCTTTTTCATATATTCTTCCTTGGGGTACATATAAGCATAAGACTCCTAAAGACTGAGCTAGGGAGCGGTATTCTGTCTGTATAAACACAACCCCGACAATGAGAGTAATTCCCGAGCTAAAAATAGCAGAAAAGCTCACATACCTGGTCACGTGTCCACCACAGCCAATCGGGCGGGGGGCATGAGCCAGGGTCAGGAGTCAAACATATTACGTTTATAATGCGAAACCTCGCTAATGTAAACTGCTCAAATAATCCCCCCTCCCTCCTGTAAGTAGTCGGAAGCGAAGTTAAGGGAATTTATCAATAAACCGGAGAAATATTTTGCCGTACAATACAAGCAAAGGTTTCCAAGGCAATAGGACTAGAGCAGTACTGAGGAATGCACAGTACATGGGATAAAACCACCATCATAAAACCCAACACCAAGGGAATAGGTAGGAAAGTTCTAGATACCAACACCAGGTAAAATCGGCAGATAAATAGTTCATGTCTTAAAACCTCGAAAGCTCAATCGGCCAGAGAGAAGAAACCCTGCCCACTGGAGAGAACTGACTGACCGAACCGAGCACGCTCGCTTGAGTGTCTGTCACCCTTTAGGTGGTATATGACCTTTGTGCGTATATCCCATACAAATGGCAGAGACAAGCCACCTAGAAATGGTTTACTTGTTCGCCAGAAGACCAGCCTTGCCCCCGCCATAACAGCAAAACAATTGGTTAGCCTTACGGATACCCCTTGTTCGTTCGATAAAAGCCTTAAGGGTCTTACAGACATCTAAGACGTGAGGTACACGGGCTGTGTGAAAGCCGGGAGCTCAATAGGCGCCGTTACATGAAAGGCACTATCTCTCTTAGGACGGTAAGTATCAGGCAACCGAATGCTAACTCTGTCTTTATGAAAAACAGTTAGCTCGGGGTCGGCTGACATTGCATGAATATCGCCTACCTGCCTGCCCGAAGTTATCCCCACAAGAAAAGCTGCCTTCCACGTTAACAGCTGGAGGGAAAGAGCTGACAGACTGTGAAATAGAGGACCAGACAGCCAATCAAGAACGATTGACAAGTCCCATGGGGGACTAATCCGCTGGATAGTCACATGGATTCTGTCCACGCCTGCTAAAAAGCGCTGAACATTAGGGTGCTGCCCCAAGAGTGCACCGTCAACGGGATTATGAAATGCCGAAATAGCCGTTGAATATCCTCGAACAGTTGAAGCCACTAGACCGGCTTCCAACCGAGACTGTAGGAATTGTAACACAGAGACTAAATCTGCAGAAAAGGGATTGAGAATCCCCCTGTTGACACACCAGCGAGCTTAACAGGCCCATATATCCTCAGTCTGAACGTTTGTTGAATCCCTCCGCCGGCCAGAATTGTGGTCTGCAATTCTCTCGCTGGGCGATTCCGAGGGTGGGGATTCGCCTCCGCTTCTGGGATAGGAGGTCCGGTAGAAAAGGTAATAGTACCGGAGGCTGAGCCAGAAACCTGAGGATTACCGGAAACCAGCTTTGAGCCGACCAAAGGGGTGCAAGGAGCACAAGTAGTCGAGCTGGTTGAGCGGCTAGCTGAGACAGGACCTTGGGAATCAGCGGTATTGGTGGGAACGCCCACTGTACCCTGCCCGTCCAATCTACCTGAAAGGCGTCGTTGGCTATCGCTCTCGGATCCGGAATCCAATAACAAAACACAGGAATCTGATTCGTCACCCCAGACGCAACCAGATCCACCTGGAATGACCCGAACAACTGGGAGATAATCCCGAATATCCCCCGGTCGAGCATCCACTTGTGTGGGGCTAGTATATGCCGTGAGAGAGCATCTGCACGCACGTTGTCTACCCCCGGGAGATAAACAGGCAAAACTCGAATGTTGAACTGGTCGCACCACAGTAGAAACTGCCACGCCTCTTGAAGAAGTGACGGGGACACTGTGCCGCCTTACTTTGGAATGTAAGTCATGGCCGTCTGAGTGTCCATTTCTAGGCGAATCACTCGGCCACGGACAAATTCTAGAAAGCTCGAACACCCGGCGGACTGCTCTCAACTCTAACACATTGATGTGCAGGCTGACCTACTGCTCCGACCATAGGCCTGAGACTGAGTGGTTGCCCAGGACCCCACCCCCAGCCCCACCCCCCTGTGAGGGAAGCGTCCGTTTGAATTGAGAGGGAAGGTGTCGGAGTGTCCAGAGGGATCCCCCTGGACAAGTTCCCGACTTCCGTCCACCACCGCAAGTGAGGAATCAACCACTCGGGCGTCTCGAGTATGGACTCATAGCTCTGCAAGTGGGACCACAGCTGCGCTAACGCCTGCTGAATGGGTCTCATCCTCAGATGCACACGCCAAACCACGTCCACTGTCGCTGCCATGTTGCCTAGCAACCGAAGCCAAGTTCGGGCTGACGCATGGGGTGACTTGAGAAACTGTAACAGTCCTCTGGACTTTGACAATGCGATCTGGAGCTAAGGAAACAATCCCCTGCTCTGTATTGAACCTTGCTCCCAAGAACACCAGATCCAGCGTCGGAACGAGTTCTGATTTCTTGAGGTTGATAATCCAGCCCAGTTTCACCAGAATATCCATCACACGCAGTGTGGATTCTCTGCTTAACTGTTGGCCTAGTGCTCTGAGAAGCCAGTCGTCCAGCTATGGGTAACAGCACCTGCCCTGTGACCTGGCTAACTGAGCTGGGATGAACATAAGTATGGTGAACACCCTTGGTGCCGTGGAGATGCCGAAGGGGAGCACACGAAACTGGTAGCACATCCCGTTGAAGGAGAACCGAAGGTACTTCTTGAACTCGGGGTGCATCGGTACATGGAGGTATGCGTCCTTGAGATCGATTGACGTAAGCCAATCCCCTGTCTCGACGGATGAGATCACTGACCTGAGTGTCTCCATCCTGAAGGACGGTACCTCTAATAACTTGTTTAACCCTCTGAGAACCCTCCGTCCTTCTTGGTCACTAGGAAGTAAGTAGAATAAAACCCCTCTCCTTGCTGACCTTCCGGAACCACCTCGATGGCTGCCTTGTCCAGTAAGGACTGAACCTCGGCACGGAGAACGTCCGCCTTCTCTCTGGAGGCTGGCACTGGCGTGTGTCAAACCCCTGAGAAGGACGGTGGGTCTCGCCTCCACTGTGGCAAATGGCCATCCCTGAGTGTGGACAGGACCCAGGGATTTGAAGTGAGGCCTCCCATTCCCAAAGGAATAGGGACAATCGGCCGCCTACAGGGATGTTTTGCAGTCAGCAAGTCTCCGCTTTGCAGGCTCCTTTGCTGAGGCAGAAGGATACGCGGCAGCAAGAGGAGAAGGCCGTTGGCGAGAAGTGGAGGGGTGTTCTAACAAGGGTTTAGAATCCTTGAAAGTTGACACCACCTCCGCGGTCTCCCGCACTACTTGTAATACCCCAGGATATAGGGAAGACCCCATTGTGAAAGGCAGGGAAAGTAGCGCCTGTTGCGTGGCAGGAGAGTAACGTGCCACTTAAAGCCAAAGCCTGCGCATGCCCATGACAGCACCCATCATCTGGCTGGCACAGCACCTAATGCTGTCCCTAGCCAGAAGAGAGTGAACGTCAGTGAGCTGGCGTGCGAGCATAGGTGCTGACAAGTCGTCACCGGTAGCTCTCTGGTCCACTAGCTGCCCCTGTAATGCCGACAGGTAAGCAGAGTGGAAAGCCACGTGTAATTGTTGAGCTGCACACCGGTAAACCTCCTCAAAGGACCGGTATGCAGACTTCAGCGTGGGTACATTGGCTTGAAAAGGTGGTAGCTGCCTGCCTTGCCTGGCCGGAGCCAGGGAGGACGTGGACGACCCCCCGAGGGTAACTGAGGCAAACACACACTCATCCACCACTGGCGGCTCAAATAGTGAATCCTCCCCCAACTGATACCGCTTGCCTACGTCTGGTAAATGACACCGAGACTGTGCACCAGTCAGCAGAGGATTCACTACCTCACTCACCAGTGATGGCAGAATGCGCAAACGTACCTCGGCGACCCGGCTAGGCGCAAAAGTCTCCCCTGGGAGTCTAATCTCCTCGGGATCGGGCGCCTGAACCGGTATAGCCACGTGGGGCAGCGCTTCCGCAATACATTCCCGAATTTGCTGCAGGGACGACGAAGGAGTACTGAACCACGACTTCTGACTCCTCATCCTCCTCCATGTCGACATCTACAGACTCCTCGGCTCCCGTACTCTCATAATCAAGAGAGGTCACTGAGGGCGCCACTGATGCCGAACACAAAGTGCTCAGATCAAGTGGAGCCAAAAGGCTCGGGTCGCCCTGCCCCCTGGTGGAACCCATGCCGGGGCGCCGAGGTGCCCGAGAAGAACCTGCCCCTACAGGCTTCCCGGGCAACCGAGACTGCACACAGGGCGCCGAGGTATC